AGGTCCTCCCCTCCCTGGGATCTTTGTGAGCCCCTGGGGTCTCCTTATGCACCAGAGTTTGGCTGTGGGGTGAGGTCCCTCCTAGGTTAGAATCTCCCCTCCCTCTTCAAATCTCACCGAGACAGATCAGGACCATGAGGATGGGGGTCATGGCATCTCCTCCCACTGCCCTGCTCTGCAGATGGATGAGCCCTCGGTGCTGGCAGGACAGAGACACACAGGGTGTGGACACTCAGAGGCTGGGCCCCTCTTGTCAAGGGATTTTGTCATCTGCAGCCACACAGGAAGCGGAACTGCCCTCCCCAGGAACCTGGCTGTCATTCCTTTAGGTCTGAGGTTGGGGCAGGCACCAGGCCCTCTGCAGACATTTCAGACAGAAATGGGGTCTTTCCTGACCCCCGCCACTGTCTGTCTGGTTTACCCTCATCTCCTTGAGACCTGGGACGTAGCGGCAAACAGAACTGGTGCTTTCTGTGTCTGCCCTTCCAGATGAGGGTGAACAGAGGCTTCCCCTTCACAGCATCCCCCAAGGTCTTCCTTCCCCCTCCAGCCCGTCCATCGGCTCAGCGTCGCGGGGTCCTTACCACGGCAGTCGTCTCTCCAGCCCTGGAGATGCTTCAGGGAAGATGCAGGTCCATGTTGCAGGCAGACCCAGGTCAGCAGAGACGCACCTGACACCTGGCTGTGCAGCCCAGGCTGAGCCGCGTGTGGCAGTGAGCACAGAGGAGAAATGCAGGGTCTACCGTGGTGGCTCACGCCTGGAATCCCAGCACTTCAGGAGGCTGAGACGGGAGGATGGCTTGAGGCCAGGAGCTTCAATTACCCTCAGCCAAATAGCAAGACCTTGTCTGTAAAAAAAAAAAAAAAAAAAAAAAAAAAAAAAAAACTTAGCCAGGCACGGCAGCTCACACCTCGAGTCCCAGCTACTCAGGAGGCTGAGGTGGGAGGATCACTTGGGCCTGGGAGGCAGAGGCTACAGGGAGCTATGATCACCCCTCGGCATTCCAGCCTCGGTGACAGAGTGAGACCCCGTCTCAAAAGGGGAAATGCAGGGAATAAATAGAATAAAACATATTTGTTCTGTTTCTTGAGTGTGTGTTTCCTTCCTACCAAACAGTCCCTCCCTTGTACTTCCCCTTTTTTCTTCATTGCAACATCACCCACCCCTCACCCTGGGAATGAGGCTCTGAGTCGGTCCTGCCTCCTCAGTGCCCCTCGTGTCCTTGGCCGTCCCTCGGCACCTCCGTCCATGTTCAGGATTTTCAGAACAGTTTGTTAGGTCTGTAATCTGATTCTGGGGGAGGGGAGCTGATTTGTGTTTAATTCCTGATTATCATCCAGGGTTTATGTGACCTTAGACATTAATGTCACCTCTGAGCCTGTTGTCATGAACCCCACTCATCACAGTGGCTGTGGGATCAGTGGTGCCCAGGACACGGGAGGCTCAGCCGCGGTGAATTTCCAGACCAGTTCAGACTGGAGGGTGGGACGGGAGAGGATCCTGGTGTCCGGTTCCACAGTCCAAGAGGATGATTGACGCCCCCACTCAAGAGCCGACATCGGCTCCAAATACCAGGAAGTGCTGCTTGTGATACGTCTGAAATACGCAGATCACCACAGCCACAGGCACAGAAAGAGAAAGAAAAGTTCCCATCATTGAGACGCGTCCCCATCAATGAACAGAGTTCAAAGCTGAGTGGCCACAGGTGTCTGGGACCACCCAGGGTCATTAGGGTGGAGGTTCCCACCTCCATGTGGGACAGAAGAGGAACCCCGGGTCCTCCCAGGCAGGGAGGGGTCAGGGCTCTGGGTGGGGCTGGAAGCTGTGGCTCCCCCTCCCCTGTGTGTGTGGACAGGCGCTGGGGGGTCTCTGCTCACTCACTGGAGTCCATGCTCAGGTCTCAGTCCCTCCCGTGTGTGTGAGAAACAGATTCAGTCCACGGTGCTCAGATATGGGCGTCTGCCCCATAGGTGAGTGTGAGGCTGGCGTTGGTCCCATCCCTGCCGGGCACAGTCTTGAGCTGACGCTAAGTTTGGGAGAGTGGGGCAGGAGCAGCGGCAACAATCCCCTTCATCAGGCTGATGCCTGGACAGCCCTGGGAGAAACCCTTTATGAAAGGCCAGGTGCGTGGGAGGAGAGCCGCCCCACAGGAATGACAACCATATGAGGGAAAAATAGGCAGTTGTTGAAATGCATTAGACAGATATCATGGAGGGAGTTCAAGACCAGCCTGGCCAAGACGGTGAAACCCCATCTCTGCTAAAAATACAAAACTTAGCCTGGCATGGTGGCAGGCACCTGTAACCCCAGCTACTCAGGAGGCTGAGCCAGAGAATTGCTTGAACCCGGGAAGTGGAGGTTGCAGTGAGCTGAGATCACACCACTGCACTCCGACAGAGTGAGACTCCACCTCAAAAAAAAAAGACTAATGATCAAGCAGTTCAGAGGGTCAATATTATCAGATGCTTCAGAGAATTCCAAGCTGAGAAACAACAATAAAAGCCAAGCTAATTTTTCCAATGATTTAACTAGTTTTATATCTGCACCATACATTTCAGTTCACCTTTCAAGTGTCTTCATAAAATCAATTAACTAAAATTAATCCATTAAATATAAATTAGAACAAAATACACTTAAGCTTTTTTTTTTTTTAAATTATACTTTAAGTTCTAGGGTCATGTGCGCAACATGCAGGTTTGTTACATACGTATACATGTGCCATGTTGGTGTGCTGCACCCATTAACTCATCATTTACATTAGGTGTATCTCCTAATGCCATCCATCCCCTCACCCACCTCCCCACAATAGACCCCAGCGTGTGATGTTCCCCGCCCTGTGTCCAAGTGATCTCATTGTTCAATTCCCACCTGTGAGTGAGAACATGCGGTGTTTGGTTTTCTGTTCTTACAATACTTTGCTGAGAATGATGGTTTCCAGCTGCATCCACGTCCCTACAAAGGACACCAGCTCATCCTTTTTTATGGCTGCATAGCATTCCATGGTGTATCTGTGCCACACCCCTGGTGGGGAGACAGGGATGCAGCCCACTCCAGTGTGGACGTAGCAAGCCCAGGCTGGGCTCTCCCAGGCCACCTTACCCCCTGGGCCCTGTGAGTCACTCACCCACGAGATTGTATGAGTGTGTGTGCATGTTGTATGTGTGCATGTGTGTGCATGTGAGATTGTATGTGTGCATGTTGTATGTGCAAGTGTGTGAGATTTTGTGTGTGCATGTGTGTGTGTGAGGTTGTATGAGTGTGTGTGCATGTTGTGTGTGTGTGTGACTGTGTGTATGAGTGTGCATGTGCATGTCTGTATGTGTGTGCATGTGTGATTGTGTATGTGAGTGTGAGATTGCATGAGTGTGTGTAAGTGTGCATGCTGTGTGTCCGTGTGTGTGTGTGAGATTGTGTGTATGAGTGTGCATGTGCGTGTGTGTGTATGCGTGTGTGTGTATGCGTGTGTGTGTGCATGTGTGTAGATGGCATGGCACAGATGGTCACGAGAGGTGCCTGGCTCTTTCACCACGTCACCGTGTTGTTGGGGAAACGCTGAGTCGAGGGCTCTCCGACAGCCAGGAGCAGCCTCCGAGATTCTGTAAAACCCTGCCCAGCCCCTCTCTGCCCAGGGCCAGGCAGCCTGGGCTGTGGCAGTGCCAAGGCCCTTGGATACACCCCCAGACTGCCTGGAAAAAAGATGTCCACTGGCAGGAAGAGACAGACAACGTTGGGTCCTAGCGACACAGCGCCCTGCAGCTTTAGTTCTTTAAAGGACATTCTGGTCCTGGCCGGGCGCGGTGGCTCAAGCCTGTAATCCCAGCACTTTGGGAGGCCGAGATGGGCGGATCACGAGGTCAGGAGGTTGAGACCATCCTGGCTAACACGGTGAAACCCCGTCTCTACTAAAAAATACAAAAAAACTAGCCGGGCGAGGTGGCGGGCGCCTGTAGTCCCAGCTACTCGGGAGGCTGAGGCAGGAGAATGGCATGAACCCGGGAGGCGGAGCTTGCAGTGAGCTGAGATCCGGCCACCGCACTCCAGCCTGGGCAACAGCGTGAGACTCCGTCTCAAAAAAAAATAAATAAAAAAAAATAAAAAAAATAAAGGACATTCTGGTCCTGTGGAGGATGGGACGGCCCTACGCAGGACCAGGACCCTCTGCTGTCCTCTCACCGCAGACCCGCACCCTGTCCCTTGTCCCTCAGAGTCAGGACGTGAGTGGGTGGGCATCTCTCAGTAGAGCCTGAGCTGCGGACGTGGACACAGCAGAGTCCACTGAGCATCATCAAACTGACGACCAGAATGAGTGAGCAAGGCAAAAGTCTCAATCAACGGAGGCTGCTTCTTCTTCTTCTTCTTCTTCTTCTTCTTCTTCTTCTTCTTATTATTATTATTATTTGAGACAGAGTTTCACTGTTGTTGCCCAGGGTGGAGTGTAACGGCGCGATCTTGGCTTACTGCAACCTCCGCCTCCCGGAGTAATCCCAGCACTTTGGGAGATGAGGTGGGCGGATCACCTGAGGTCAGGAGTTCAAGACCAGCCTGGCCAACATAGTGAAACCCTGTCCCTAATAAAAGTACAAAAATTAGTCAGGCGCTGTGGCTCACACCTGTAATCCCAGCACTTCGGGAGGCCGAGGTGGGTGGATCACTTGAGGTCAGGAGTTCAAGACCAGCCTGACCAACATGGTGAAACCCCGTCTCTACTAAAAATACAAAAATTAGCTGGGCGTGGTGGCACATGCCTGTAATCCCAGCTACTCGGGAGGCTGAGGCAGGAGAATCGCTTGAATCTGGGAGGCGGAGGTTACAATGAGCCGAGACTGCGCCAATGTGCTCCAGCCTGGGTGACAGAACGAGAGTCTGTCTCAGATAAACAACAACAACAACAACAAACCCAAAACATTACAAGCACCCATTATCCCGAATCCTCTTAGCAGATTCTCACAGCGCACCTTAGAGCTGGGGAGTAACTCAGCTTTTAAAGTTGAGATCATTGAGCCCCCGCCCACTGAGGTTGGACTCCCACACTCAGCGTTTTGTGAAGGGTTGTGGTTATGATTCCAGCACAGCCACGCACCTGGCTCCAAAGCCTGCACGGCCACAGCTGCAACATTCCCCTGCCCTGGCCGCGTTTGTCGACAGCGCTCCAGGTGAAGAGTGCCTACAGCCAGGGCCGAAGCCCTGTTGGGTCAGGAGCACCGTCGCTCCATCAGAGTTCGCCAGCAGCAACACCATGGACGCACTCTCATTGCTGAAGTCCAGCCGCGATCGTGGGCAGACGCTTCTCAGCTTGTGTGAGCCCTGGGATTCCTGAGGTGGTTGCTTTGGAGCCTTTAGTCCAGCTTCTCCCTTGTTCCTGGGGAATGGTTTCCCCCATGCCCTAACTCTGTCATTCTGGAAGTTGGAAGTTTCTACTTCACACAGTTAAAGACAAATTCTCTAAATATATAAACACCATGACCCAATTTTTCTGGCAAAAACCAACAAGCACGCACACCCACAAACATCTTTCCAGACACGTAAGCAAAATCTGCAATTACACGCTCCTTGTGTGTTTATGCAGTGGAACCTTCATTTCCGGCAGGTCCTTGCTCCTGTGTTTCTCTGGGGGGTTTAAGGCAACATAAATTTATTCTCTCAGAGTTGCGAAGCTAAAAATCAAGGTGATGGCAGGGCCAGGGCCAGCGCTCTCTCGGGAGGCTGTCAGGGAGAAGAACCCTCCTTTGCCCTTTCTGGCTCTGGGTAGCTGTTGACATTCCCTGTGGTTCCTTCAGACGGAGAGATTAACCGATGAACAGATCCACAGGAATACAGGT